TATTCTCAGACCTATACTCCTGCCTTTCCTCTTCTCTCTCTGTCTACGAATCCTTCTACCTCCTCCCCTTCTTCGACCAACAGTAGTCCAATTTCCGCCAGCACCCTGTAGGTCAACAGCACTGGTGGCGGTCGTTGTTAACCCGTGCCTCGACCGATCCGGTATGGAATTCACACTGATGATTCGCATGTTTAAATTTGGCATGTTTTTAAGCCGGATGCCCTTCCTGATGCAACCCTGTCTATCTATCGGGGCTTGGGACCGACACAGAAGTCATTGGCTTGCAACCCCTGTGGCTAGATTAAGCTGCAACACTAACAATGATGTAAAATGAAAATAAAATTACACAAATTACAAACATCTAGTTTAAGTGTGGAAATATTTGTTTATTTCAACTCTTCATGATGCCCCCTAAGTTATTATGAACTCACTCACATGCAGTTGGTATTTCTGGACTAAATGACTATTATCAGTTTTATCAATATGATATATGGAAGTACATACTAATAATGAAAGGAGGTAGGGCATGTATGGGACAATAATCTGCGCTCAGTCTGCAGCAGTTGTTGTGGCCAGTGTTTTTGTTGACGTTCATCTAAGCCAGACACAGCTGCAACATCACTGTCTTGTTTAAGAGATAAGAGATCAAGTGAACTGAGAAGATGATTTCCACAAATTCTGGCAGTATACTGCTGTCTAATCGTAGGCTTAGACCCTGAGATTACTTAAATTAATGTGAAGCTCATTTAAAACCTGTGCAACAATTATGCTTTATTAGCTGTTTCCATCGTAGCGTTTCAGTATGCAGTCAATCAGCCAAACCTCTGCAGCAGCCATTTAAAGTTCAAGGTAGTTTTTTTTCATTTCTACCATTACTGCCCCTGTTACTACAATATATCTTGTCATGTGAGATTATAGCGAAACATCACTTCCAAAAAACTACAGGCCTCTTCATGTCTGGATGACTGAATTACTGAGTCATGGTCCTCACCCCTGTGATGTATACTGTACCACAAAGAAGAGGAAAAATTTGCTGACTCTTGTTTAATTTTGTCTCTGAGAAATTTCAAATATTACTAGACCCAGTTTGGTCAGAAAGAGGGTCTTGGATTTAAGTTACTGTAGTTCTGTGTCTCTGTTTTAGCAGATCAAGCTAGCTTAGGAGATCAAACCTTCTGCTACACAAATAAAGCAGAGACTAAGATCATATAAGTTTTTACTTGGTGGTGTTTAGTGCATGTGTACTGGGGTAAAATTATACTCTGAGTGCTGGTGATGTCATTGTTAGCATCCTTTGATTAGCATCAATTATAATCCCACTCCCATGGCTGGCATAAATCATAAAACGTCATGTTTATGGAGTCGATCTCTTCCTTTGATTGTATAGTAATATCTTCTTTCCTGATAAGGACTGATGCTGTGCACCAGTGTTCTTAGGATTTAAGAGATGTTGTTTTGCTTGACTTGCCTATCTTGTGAGTGTAACCCTTAGTCCCTTTAAGAAAACGTTTCATAAATGTTAAATGTCTTGCCTAGTTAGTAGTATCACACTGCATGACAAATACTAATGCCTTTCCTGTTTAAATAGAAATATCACACTGATGCATGAGGCTTACTCAGCCAGTTTTAAGATTACTAACTGTGTTGTCTAACTCTCCCTTATCTGATCACAACACGCCCGAAATACTGTCTCTTGAAAGACAATGTCTCTCTTTCCAGATATGTCTCCAGGCAAAGATAGTAACAAGTCAGTGATGTATCATTTAACAAGGCGTCACCGAGATGTCTCAGATAGTCTGTCGCCGTCATCATCACGTTACCATGCCAAATTCATCTGCCCAAACAGGCGGTAAGGTGCAGTCTGTGATTAACAGCCTATGGATGTTTCACCTACTTTTGTTTTCCATTCAGTGGTTCATTCTGGCTTCATGTTAAACCAGTGGACAAAGTCAAAGGCTAAATTATGTTTCTCAAGTTCAAATGTATGATACTGCATGTGCTGTACGTATTTGTCTGCTCCATTCATCTTGATAGATTACCATGATGAATCCAGGCAGAGGGTGACACCTGCTGTTAGGAAAGTGTAAGGAAATGCTTCATCTGGAAAACATGATTTTCTGTGGGACGTTACTTTATCTAATCTAACAACTGGGAAATAGCAAAGAATAACCTACAGTGGGATCCACAGTAATCAAAAACTCACATGACACATAGCGGCACAACATCATCAAGAGATTTTAACCCTGAAAACATAAATGTTATCCTTTTCTATCTCAGCTGAGGTAAAACATACATAGAAAGTGAAACTCCCAAATTAATTTGAACATTTAAAGACACACTGTCAGAATCAAAGAAGCTCACACACTCAAACCGCCCTCATGATTAAGTACCTCAGTTGTGTTTTGAGTTCATTGAAGCGCGGCCTCTTACTGGGATCATACGACCAACACTTTGTCATCAAGCTGTAGAGAGTAGGAGGGCACTGCGGAGGCATCGCCAGACGCTCACCGTTCTCTATCCTGCCTATGACATCGTTGTTCTTTACACCCTGGAAAGGCTTGATGCCATACATTAGAATCTCCCACATGCAGACACCTATGGGAAAACATAAAAATACAGTCAGTATGAGAGAGCCACCTAAAAACAAGCAGGCAAAGAGCAACTCAGAAACAGGTCTGACGTAAAAACCTACTGCTACAGCACAAAACATCAGGACAACAAAAACTTAAACCTACCAAACATCCAGACATCACTAGCTGTAGTAAATCGTCTGAAGTTGATGGATTCTGGAGCCATCCATTTAATAGGCAGTTTACCTTTAGAGGCTGGGAGATGGGCAGGAGGAGAACATGTCACTTAGGTCCTATTAATAACAGTGACCCTTTTCATATGTTGTGACACACCACAGAAAGTTAGGTAGACACAATGAAGTGTGTGTTTATGGGCGTGCTACGCATGTGTACAGGTGTTGGAGTTACCTTTGTAGTAAGAGCTGTCTTCCATGTATCGTGACAGACCAAAGTCCCCAAGCTTAACGCAGTCGACCGTAGACACTAACACGTTTCTCGCTGCGATGTCCCTAAAGATGACAAAACCACAATGTTAGGGAGTCTGAGGCACTCTGACGGTTATTCTACTAGGTTAGCCACACTTTCATATGCATAACCACTGCTAAAACAGCATGATAAGATGGTCAGCATCTTTCATTCAGCCTTCCAGATCACACATTAGGATTTCTTTCCCCATATTAGGATTTGTTTTCAGTTTTTAATGGAATAAAAATGTTTTACTGTGAAGTTCCTTCCAGTAGGTGGCATTACTGGACTGTAACTATTTATCATAAAATAATATTCCTTCACATCCAACTTAACTATAAATGTTTCTAAATGATTATTTGGAAAACAATAATTATTTGGTAAACAGATTTCTTATTCCATGAAAGATCCTTGTACTGTTGTGGTGCTCTGGCCACCTACAATAGCAACACAAACTAAAACTAAAACTTGCCCCAGTAGTTTTTAATAGAACTTTGATAATATTCTGCTCCGGTGTGAGGTTTCAGGATGCCCTCCTGCATACCTGTGTACAAATCGTTTGCTCTCCAGATATGCCAGCGCTGTGCTGAGCTGATAGGAGTAGAGGATGAGAGTGGCCAAGTCCAGACTGTACTTCCTCACCTGCAGGAATGACCGTAACTATGGAGGGCAGAGACAGAAAAAACAGATGTATGACAGAGAGAGAGAATGGCAGGTCAACAGGCATTTAAAATAACATAGCAAGGAAACAGCACAAAACAGGCAAGAGATAAACAAGCTATGCCACTATGGCTAGGAACTATGTCAAGTTAACATGGGCATTATCTTTCTTGCTAACTGGAGTAAGTGAATGTGAAATTGAGGTTAACTGTCTACTGCACTGCCCCCCTACATATCTAGTGTACACCAATCCAAAATATTATACAAATGGCTTCTCAAACCAAATTAAATGCAATTTATTCTCAATGGAGATGTTCATTTTTACTAATTTTCAATGGAAAACGCCCTCATTTAGATTTTCCTCAGGATATTTGTCTCCATGCATCATAATTTTGTTGTTTCATGCTACAAGTTCAACAAAGTTTACTGTCAGTACAGCTCAGAATGTTTCACTAATATAGAGAAATGGACAGCATTTTTGTTATCTGATTCACCTTGGTTCTTTGTATAAGCTCTAAAAGAATCTCTGTGATGATGTTAATAAGCTTTTTAAAACATGTAAGCAACCATCCATCTCTGTGTCCCACCTCTCCAAGTGTGCAAAGCTCCATAATAATCCAGACTGGATTCTCTGTGATGACCCCCATAAGCTTCACGATATGAGGATGGTCAAACTGACGCATGGTCACTACCAGAAAACAAGAGGGTGGCAAAGGTCAGTTTTAAAACAGCTTGCAATTTATTTTCTGTAATAAATGGGCTATTTGGCACCTTCTTAATCATTTTTGGAAGATAAAATCTGACAAACACACACAGAAAAAATTTCAACTTTGACCCATGCGGTCGTTTGCCCCTTCCCTCTCACACGACCCATAGGAGCATCTCCTGAAATAGCTCTACTATGTTGGCGGGTGGAACGGAGAGAACTCCACCAACATGAAGAACAACATGTCACAGCAGCACTTTCTGTCATCAGGGAAAGTGTCAAACATTATGAAGCCATCACCGTTTCATTACATTTTGTCACGTGGGCAAAGGTCCTGTGTTTCATGTAACAAGCCATCCAGCCCAAACTCCTCTCGACACCAACTTTGTGGCTCTACATACTACATCACATAACTTCCTCCGCTGCTTGTGTCATAATTTGTACACTCACTAGAGGTTGTAATTGTAATATATAGCTGTTGGATCTAATAACCTGCTGGCACAAATGACATATAGAGTCATTTTATACAGGAGGACAGTCTGAGAAACTTACATGCTTCTTGGAGAAACTTTTCCCTCACGCTGTCTGACGTCGAGTTCTTACACGTCTTCACTGCCACAGACAGAGCTGGGTTCTCCTGCATGAAAGATACACTCAAAACATCAGCAGCAGCATGACAACAGAAACATCTACAGTCTGACCAGCGTATCTACTGTTTGCTCATAACTCAAAAGACAAGTAGGAAACTCAAAACTATTAAGATTTAAGGTAAAAAACATTTTAACTTATGACTTTTAACAAAGGCCTATTAAAATATACTTTGAATATTACATGTTTGTGTATCACTGTATTGAAATTAGACTAGTATATCACTGTTGTTGAGTGGTAAACCCATCCCATTCTTTTCTTCTCATACAACTACACTGTACCTGTGCAGTTATTGTGATGCAAGTTCAAGAATGGTTCATTTGTTATAATTTAGCTCTAAACTGTCTGCAGGTAACATTTGAGAGAGAACTCAGACAAAAGAGCAAAGAACCATCTATAACAGGCTATATCAATTGTTTTATAGTACAGTATGAGCGACAAAGACAGACTACATACCGGGCTGATGTAGACCCCTTGGTGGACGTCTCCAAACTGACCCTCACCGATGCAGCGGCCCAACTCAATACGATCCCTCTGAATCTCATAGTCTCGTGCTAGATACAGAGTAAACATGGACATGAACACACACAGGTACACAAAGACCAACAAACAGAGCAGACCTTCAGATTAGACACACACATCATGCCCACACATACTCAGGCCTTTTATTTACCAAGCTTGTGAGAGTGATTTACAGTGTCTGTCTGATTTTCCCTAAACTGATTCTGTGCATTATCAACTCTTATAACAATTCTTTGAGCCTATTTACTGTATAAAGACATGACAGTTATTATTTAAAGAAGATGCACCTTGGGAAACAGGTCAGACATGACAAGCTTATTAGTTTAATGTCTGCAACACCATGGGGTGTCATCTTCTCTAGGAGTCATCTGAAAGAGAACAGATCATTTAAACTCAATTATCCTGAATTTCTAGATTAAGTTAAAATGCTTCTCTGCTCTGACAAGCTTGGTTTTATAGCAGTCAGCAAAGCTCAATATCAACAGCATGCAACAGCAGCATCAGCAAACCACAGCCACACATGCCAAATGACAGACAGATAGCAGCCATTAACACTATATGTATATACAAACAGAAATTTCTATGTTAATTGAGTTATAATATGAATAAAGTCAGGTGGATTGTATAACAGTGAAATTCACAGGCTGAATACCGAATACATTTGTTTGTTTTTTTGCATCTGTACAATAGTCATTTTTACAGTATCTTTTCTTTTTTGGCAAGTGACAATAGAAAAATGTGAAACGATTTTGACATTTAGCTTTTTTAAAACAGAATAAAATATCTATGAAGTGCTAGCTGTTGGGAAGCTATTGGTTTGATCTACCAGACAGACATGACATTGTTGATCTGACTTTGTCAATGTGATCAGCATATGGAAAACCAGTGGTGTAGTGCTATTTGATGAAGTACTGGAGTGCACCTACAGTATAACAGGTTTGGTTAATTTGTGGCCTGTTTCAAGGACCAATATCAACACTTTTCCAGCTTCATGGCAACTCTAATTGCCTGCCTGATCAAATGTTAGACTGACTTTATTCTCTGGTGTGACAGAATAATAATGTGAAATTTGTAGCAATCTGTCACATGGTGAAGGTTATAGCCATAGCTAGTCCTCCCATATTTGTTGTGACCAGTTATCAAATAACTCCTAAAGCTATAATAGAATAGCTGCTCTCTGCTCCAGTGTTAAACCAACTCCAAAACATACTGAATGTTCACTGAGTTGCTACTGCTTCATGTTGGTTCACATGTCAACCCGCAACAGTGAACACACCAGCTGTGCACAGGGCTTGCAACTGGTCAGCATGTGCCAAAGTTTGTCCATCCTGTGCCCTGCTTGTGTCATTTAGGCCTATAGCTGATCACTCACAGGTACAACAGTCTATTTAAATCCAAGCATCACTTAAATTAGATGTAAAGTCTGTTTCTGCTGCTGATCGTTGCATCTGATGTTTGTTCTTATGGCTCCTCCTGGAGATTATGCTCTAGTTTGTCTGAATGATTTGAGATTGGTTCTATCATTTGTCTTTTGTAAACAGGGTCTGTATTCAACACTAGACTGTGTCACTGTGAATCATCCATGTTATGTGACTGGACAAAACACACTCACGGATGTCAATTCTGTGCACTGGAGTGTGTTTGAGTCGTTGTGAATCAATCAAAAGCAGAACTTCTAAATGTCACGTATTATGATTAAACAGGGTGGTACTGCCCTGTTGCTGCTAATAGTTCTGGAGTAATATACAGTGTATATATACACACACACACACACACACACACACACACCTATTTACCCAGTCTAGACATGAACAGCTAATTGTGCACTGTGCACAGTTTGCCATGCTGTTGCTACCCAGAGCGGTTAGCTATGAAGTGCTTACAGTACTGCTGATTTTTTAAAATCAAGTATCTGAAAATGACTTAGTTCCATCATTATTTTTTTCAATCTTTTACAACAAGATCAACTGCCAACTACTGGGACTCAGTTCTGAAGTATCCACCTCTTCAGCCCAAAACCGACAGTACATCAAACATCAACAGAAGGGGGTCAAACAACAGGGTACAGATATATAGAAATACATTCTGAACTGTATTTTTCAGTTGCAAGCAAACACAAAAAATAAGGTTCACAACAACCACCAAATCAAAGTGCATCACAGTACAACCAGACTTATGGTATGTCCCAGTCATTACCTTGATCTAGTCCATAGTATTCTGGAGAAATGGGTTAGTGATAAGAGACAGAAACTATCTGTGAGTACAGAAAGCCATAAAATGTTACTGCAGTCTTTATTAGTTGTGTCAGTGAAACCTTAACAATTGTCGGTGTGTTCAGTTAGAGGTACTGTATGTCAGTTTACTATACAGGTCCTATATCAGCAATGTGTCCCTGATCATGTGAAATTACTTGCTCTAGGATGTTTAAAGCCTTTTGCTGTGCTTTGTCTGAACACTTATTTTTGTTGTGTATATACAAAGAGCAAAACAAAGCAACAAACACACACACACACACACATTCAGTCGTCATAAAAATTGCCCATCTTGTTGCTTAGAAACCTGCTGTGTTAACAAAACCTACACAGAAACTGAACCTACTCAGTCTAGACATGAACAGCTATCACCTTGGCTGGTCATGTTTGTTAGCGTACTGATCGGACTTCTATCTGAATTAGTCGTTTACATATCTGAGAAGGTCCTGCAACATGGCACTGATACTGTACAGTAATGACTTTTGTTATTGGTCATTTACCGTGTGGACATCTACAGTAGTAGCCTCTGTATGCTGCGTGTGCACGTCCACAGGATTAAGTGAAAAGCCTCAGTATGAATATTTCACCTAACATCTCGGCTGCCTCTAAATGTTGCCTATTTAACATCACCACTTAGTGTTGCAGTGAGCATAATATGAACAACAGTCATACAGCTGGTGAACAGGCACTACTCAGCAGCACAGCAGACCCCCCTTAATGTTCATGCTCATATTTAATCTTATTTTTCAGGTAATAATGTAGAGACAGATAAACCTTCACACTGAAGTAAACGTCAAGATGAACACTTATGATATAACAGTGATTAGCAGGACATGGAGCCATCTGCAAACAATACACTGTGATTAGGGCTGCACAGTTTATCATTCTGCGATCTCCATTCAGACCATGGGATCTCATTTTCATGTTTGTATTAGCAGGAAGATTTGTTGCATCAAACCAAGCGCTCCCTTTCCGCAATAAACTGCGTTAACCGACAAAAGGAATGCATTAAATCCCATGATGAGCTGTGCACAGAAGAGAAGACTGATTCAAAACAAATCCAACAATGACAATCAGAGCGTATAAGCAGTGTCTTGCAGCACCCGACAGGAAGACGCCGAACTTGTATAACAACAAAACGCAATATGATAAAATTCAAAAAAAAAAAAAAAAACACCTGACAATTCCACAGACTGAAGATGGGTCTTACCATTTCTCTCAAAATCTTGTGACAACTCACAAAAACAAATATAGTTTGCAGGCCTGAATCAAGTGGTTTCCCCTTTTATAAATGATTAGTACATGTGACCTCAGAAAATGTAGATTCAATCAAAATCTAATCCGTCCGATCGTTAACGTAACTAATCTAAAAGGAGTTCAATGCTGGAGTCCAAACCGATAAATAATTAGGCCTGATACTGTATTTCATTAAACCCACCTGTATAGCGGAGTGCGGTGAAATACTCAAACTAGCTAATTTGTGAAGTTTCACGAGACATTCCCATGCTCCACTATACAGTAATGCTGGTTTTCCTGGTTCCACATGTCCAACTGACACTGCATGCCCATCAGCTGATTAATACTGTTGGACATGGTATTTGATCAGACTAGCTACCTGTCCAGGGTATGCCCTGCCTCTCACCCAATGTCAGCTGGGATTGGCTCCAGCCCCCCCGACAACCCTCTTCAGGATAAGCAGTATAGATAATTGATGGCTGGACAAATGGTATTTAGTCAGTGGATGATATTTTCACTTCATATCAACAAAAACGAGGGGAAACATTTCCAAAAGCAAGAGCACAATAGTGATAAAGCCTTTTTCAAAAGTGAATCTGGTCTTGCATGTGACATTAATGTACTTTAATAACTTATTCTATTTGCAATAAAATTACTCAGATAATAAATTAACTGCCAGATACACACACAAATTATCTACAGTACCACCACACACACATTCATGTATCCCAAAGACCTTTAACTCACTCTCCATCATCACACAAATGCTTGCATGCGCACACAGTATGCCACACAATGGCATACAAAAGTCTGAACACCTGTCCCTTTGTCTCTCCACTTAAGTGTTTGTGTGTGATTACTCACTTGAAGGCATTGTGTAGGTGTCCTCCTCGTCTATGATCTCAGCGTAGTCGTCCGTTTCTGTAGAGCCAGAGCGAGGTTGAGAGGAGGAACACGAAGGCGTGACACACAAAAGAGAGACAAAGAGTTAATAACATGGTCAAATCTGAAACACCACTTTGCAGAGACCCCTGGATTGTGTTGGAGGTTCGCTTCTTTGACAACAAAAACTAAAGTTCCATTAACAATAAAAAATTATTTGACTGCACGCAACTCAAGATTCACCCTCACACACAAAACATTAAGTGAAAATGCCAAGAGAAACACACCATTATCAGACAGAAGTACCTTTCCAAAAGACAGTCACCATACCCAGCTCCAAATACATGCACAACAACTAAAATGTTCATGTACTAATAGCTGCACACAAGGAATGAGAGACAGAAGAGTACAATGGAGAGGGAGAGAGAAAGAGGAAAGGGGAGGGATGGAAAGATTGTTTTTTTCCACAGAAACAAGTTGAGTCATGGATAAAGGCAGATACTGCACACACAGAGAGTTCGCTAAGTGTAGGCACAGAGCAGGAGTTTCATTGTGTTACCAATTTAAGACGGTTAACAGAAAGAATGTTATTTACCATCGCCACTAGTGTGACCTGCAGATGCCACATGCAGCATGAAACACACACAAAGATGGAGAAAAGGGAGAGAAGCATTAGTTATTTAAGGCGGTTTTCATTTAATTGTGTGTAACAGTGAGTTAGTCAGAGCAGAGACAGAGTGACAATGACTAAAGCTCTCCATGGGGACATCTGGCGAGACAAGCACTCTTCACTGCACACACAGATGAGGCTTTATAGGGGAAATAGGGTGCATGCACATATCTGTGAACCCTTTTAGCAGTCACTGTCATTACTGACATTTAGAGCAGTGGACAGAGAAGACACTGACAGGCAGGACAGAAACCAAAAGGGCAGGAGAAGGCAAGACTGAGGTTCATACCGGAGACACAAACAGCTCTGGCTCGTACGCCATCCATCCGTTTGTCCATGCGCTTCTCGTGATTCGAAACTCTGCATCGGAGAGGAGAAAATCATTTCTGAGCTTCGGCTCACATTAACCTAAACCAATGCATCCTGAATGAGCTTCCAGCTGCAGCTATGAAGACAGTGACAAGACCAAAGTAATGAAAGATCCTCCCATATCCTGTCATATGTGCTGCTTTACGGTGTCAAACACCGTGAGATATGGCCAAATGTTTAAAATTTTTTAAAAAACTGTATATTTTCTACATGGGCAAGTCAAGAACTTTATCATAAAGATTAAACAAAATGAGCTAAATCAGTAAATAAAACCTGTTAAGATGTCAAAGTTGTGCTGAAAAAGGAAGAAAACTGATGTAAGAGTCTTACTTTGGTATAGAAGGCAAAGCTCTGTCTCCTTCTACATAGACAAAATAAACACAGGAATTAGACACAGAACAGACTGACGTCATGTTAGAACAACAAAACAATATCACTGTAATCATGTTGTAGCAACCATAGTTATATTTAGAGAAGACATGTCAAACACAGGCTTGTTATTTAAAGTGACAAGCATAATGATTTAACTACTGTTTGAAAGATGGCTGATAGCAACGGTGCTACTGATAAGGTAAATGTTTCCTTTGCTTCAAGTTACTGTCACCATCTAAAAACAATCTCTTAGCTGCACACAACTGTATCATTACCCGCCTCAAAATATCAAAATTCAGATGTAAAAGCAGCATAAAACACATGTAAGAGTAGTTGTTTTATCCTACCTTTAGTGACTCTGACAATAAAGGAGTGACTAGCTGAGGAGACCAGCCGACAGTAGCCGTCAATCAAGTCAGCCATGTTTTCTGCTGTAGTCAGGGATGCTGTGGTGACTGTGAGTGGCTACACACACACACACACACAAACACACACACACACACACACACACACACACAAACACAGAAGACAGGAGGGCTGTGGTGACTGTGAGTGGCTACACACACACACACACACACACACACACACACACACACACACACAGAGAAGGATTAGTGTAGAGTGGGACAGAGAGCTGTTTCACAGTGACACAGTGAGAGCTTCATTAGGGGTAAAGTCTTCTACCAGTTCACATATACACACGATTTTACACAGATACTCTGCACTAACGCACACATGCTTTTCTACTAGTACTAGCCTGCTGCAAACACACACGTCTCAATAGACACACTCACACTGACACTCAAGTGCAGATGGGCTGTTTCCTTTTTACACTAACTAGATCTATTTGTGTCGTTTCCTTCATATGATGTGGTACTGTTTTGAATTCAGTGTTTAAACTGTATTAAAGTTGAGTGAACCAAAATAAATTTGAGCTTAAAATGCCTCAAGTCAGTGTGAATCAGTGGTTTAACACACACACTTTTGGTGGAAATGCAAATAGGACATGAGGTATTGCCCTAAATTTAACATCTAAACAACAGAGGAGCCACCCTGCGTTGAACAGATCGGATAGTGATAGCCTGCAGCGTGTGTGAATGTATGTGTGTGTTTTGTTTTCACCTCTGGAGCTCCGGCCACGTTGAGCTGCAGCATGCCTTTTCTGTCCTTCTCTTCCAAAGCGGAGTATTGGATGGACTGTACCTGGTTAAAGTTAGCTAAGTGTGTGGGCTACAGAAACAAAGACAGATGCACAAAAATCTTAGAACTCATGTAAAGTATTATATAGGGTATGCTGGTACCATTTATTCAGCTCAGTGGAAATGATCTTTGCAAAGTCCTGCCCATGCAAGGGGTGAGGCATAGTTTCCACTGCACCAGTTAGTCATGTATTTCTGTTTTCACACTCAACAATGCCAACCACAGTAGCAACAGATAATGAGCGCTAGAAAGACAGCACCATCAAAAGTAAAGTTTAATATTTATAAATGTCATACATGAGAGGCTCTGATTTACTTTCATGCAAAGATTACTTTGATAGGCTGTCTTCATTAAGGACAAACAGCCTATGCACTGAAGTGACACCTGTACAGCTGTTTCCTGTATTTTGAGATGTCACCGCAGCTGTTCTGTTTATCTAATCCAACTACCTGACCACTGGCACCTCAAGGACACTGTGTTTCAACTTGGGAAACAGAGGACAGAAGAGAACGCCTGTCTTCCACAGCAGCAGGACAAATCAGTAGAGGGCACTGCCACTCCTTCAAATTAAAAGCATGTAGTTTACAGTAGAATAGTGTCGGAAGTCTTAGGGCCATTTAAATTTAAACAGAGAGACAGATTTTTTTTAAAGAAAGTTGATCTTGAAGAGGCTAAACAAAGAATGAGTGAGTGCCAAATGAGATTTTGGAAGAGGAGTTGAGAGTGAACATCCTCACCGTTGAGCCCTTGTCTGTGAGGTAGCTGATTCCTTCCTCTGGCCCAATAGCTAACTCCACTGATATTACCCAGCTAGACTAGAGAGGGAGAGAGAAACAGCAGCATTAAAACAGATGTCATATTTCATTTGCATGAAACAATGTTAACGTTCTTATCTGGTTTCACTACTTTGATGCAATTTTAAAATGGCCTCTTGGGCAGTGGAAGGTTTGCATTCTATAAGTGACAATGATAATACACTGCTGTAGAAAACATTATAAGAACAATATACTAAGCAGAAGTGTGGAACAAATGCAAAAACTGCAGTTGCTAACCTTGTATATTACAGATGACATTCCACTCTGCATGTTTCCTACCCTGTGAATACTAAACAGGCTCAAACCTCCCATCCTCATGACTGCAAATGAATTTTCAGGTATAGAAAAGGTATGATGAACTATCCATCACTACATGCAATCCTATATCTAGGGAATGAGAGTTGCCCTACCCCTAAAGCACATTTGAAGCACTCCTTGTCAAAGCGGTAGATGGGAGTGAGTATTTCGAAGAACTTGTGGATGCTTTGCTCATCATTTAGGTTAGCAAACTGTTTAAAGGTCTGCTGGATCTGTTTACGAAGAGTCTTTGCCTGTGAGAGTAGGGAGATAGAGAAAAAAAACATTTACAAGAGTTAAGTCTTTCTGGGAGAAAGATGGTTTGGAGACAAGAAACATACAACTGACAACTGTCAAGGTCCATGGCAAGTATCAACAGGAGGTTTAATGTGATTCCAGGCAATCAAATAATCAGACAGTGAGCCAGACGTCCATTTAGTTATCAAGTTGGCCTCGCTTCTCATCCAGCTCATTAAGCAGGACTAGGATTGCCACTTCTGTTATCTGCCAATGGAACTAAAATGTTTGACCGCGGACAGTTAGTGAAGGGCAAAATCTCAAACTGGGCTTCACCTCACCTTGAGAGAGTCCAGGAGGCTTTTGGGGAAAAATCTTCTCAAGCCAACATCTTTCCTAAAAACAAATTAAATAAATAAATAAAAGCACCCCAACATTTATCTTTTAGTAGCTGAAAATTACCGTTAACAAAAACTGTTAAACTACATTACATATAAATTAGAGGCAATATGGTTTATGGTGTGGGGGAAATAAAATGCATCATACTCTAGTAGTTCATAGTTAGATTTCTTATCCAAGGCATTGCCTGGCATCTCTCTGAAGAACCTCCTGTAGGCAAAGAGACATAATTAGTGGAAACTAGATTAATGGTCAGTTTCTGGTTCAGATATTCTCTAATTTAAACAATGACTAACAGTCAAGAACCTGCTTGAGCAAACAGATTGATTTTGATGATTACAGTACAAGAACTAATGAGAGCGTGTGTGTTTCTCTAACCTGATTTCCAAACAGCCTAGTTTCAAAGCAACATCTTGTTCCACCTGATCAGCTATATGTTGCATGTAGTCACTCTTTACCTGGAGAAACACAGTATGGCAGCAGAGCTGTTATAAATACAACAGTTTAAAGACAAAAGTAGCAGAAGGATAAATGCATTAAATGTAAAATGTGAAGCCTTATACAGTAGTCCAATGTAAGAGCACAGTGGAGTGTATCAGTTAGATGTCTCATGTAGCACTGAAAAGTCCAAAACAGACATTGTGAAGAGATGTTTCATCTTGAGGAACTCATAATATTCATAATTAATAAGCTTAATTTGATTCCAGGAAAGACTCCATGCCCAGCCCCCAGAACTAAACTGATTGTCTGATTTGTTTCAGCTAAAGACACCATGGAAACTACCCCCAATGCATAGACCAGGCTCTGCTATCCCACCATCCTCTGCAAACAAACCAGATATGAACATCAAAAGGACCTAGCCTCATCTCCATGACTACAACAAAGCAAAACTCCCCTTTCCTTGTGACTTTACTGCATTAGAATACACATGTTGGACTCACAACTCTGACCTTAGACAATAAGTTTGGATTAACTCAAACAAGTCCAAGACCTTTGCTTCCCTTATCTGATTCCTTCCCAGGAAAGCTCAGACACCAGAGACTTTGTTAATCTTGACAGCTTAACTTCCACAGTACTGTTCAGGAAACTTAGGAAATTGTATTTGATTTCTTTATTTTAATGACTGTGTGCTGATAATCGGTTGCTTTTATCTTTTATGCTCAAAGTTAACAGTTAATAGTATTCTCTTGTGCTTGTCCCATGTAAAATTATGTTGCTTAGATTGTGACAGCCTGACGTCTCATGAAAACCATAGTTATTACCAAACTAAAGTTTCTAACCTATCAAAATTGAGTTAATTTTTCTCTCTGGATTCGGAAATAAACCCCAGAATTTAGATCTAGAATCTAGATCATAGCTCATTTTCCACCATCACTAACGACAGACAGTTAGGTCATCTATTAAACCCCATCATTTCTATCGTGCTGTTCCATGACATCCCGATTATTTTGCCTGTGTACATTTTGTAAATAAATGTATTTAGCTCATAACTGGCTTCATTATGTCATCTTTGAGTCTCTTATTTCCAATAAGTAAACCAATGACATGGTAGAGTTCACTGTTTTCAAATTGAGACTGAACTGATTATTCAGATTAATGATTCATGCTGATAAATGATGATGACTAGACTAGCTTTCGATTAGTCCCTGTGAACAGACTTGGTGCCCCAATCTAATGAGATACTGAATATATCCATGTTCATAAAGTGTAGTAATATGAGCTACACTAATTATTTTGTTCAATGTATATCTGCCTTGCTGGACATGACAGTGACAAAGGATGTGATAGAGCAGATAATATAGGACCTGTTCAAGAAAGGTACTGTGATGTCACTTTCCTCACCTGGTGATAGAGGTAGTTGAGAGAGGGTTTGTCTTCAGAGAAATGGCTGAGGTAACCCTTAGGAAGGTACCGCATCCGCAACTCATACCTGAGAATGACAGAGACAATTTGGTTAAATAACCATAAGGTACTCATTTGGATACACACATGAAGAACAAACCTGGCATCCAAATTCATCTGAGCGGACATACAGCTGGGACATACACATCCCTCAATACATTTTAAAGCCTCCAGTCTGACCCACTGTAGGTTAATAGTAGTTGATAGTTTATTCACAATGTGTGCAGAGCACACAACATTAAGTAAATGAATGTTCCTACAAATCTAATGAGATTTTATGCAGGGTTACTGTTCCTGATTGGAAACATCTCACATCTATTTTAGAGAGAATGTATAAATATCCATAGATATACAGTATGTTGTATATCATCAAAAGGATTTTTTGTGTGATAACCCAGCTATACTAAACATAAATCTTGCTATAATGAGAAAAATGTCTCTTGCTCTAACTTCAGAGAGGTTAAAGTATTCAACTGAATCGCATCCATAGAACTGGGTGGATTCTGTGTCACAGTAACTTCAGTGGCAAGTTGAAAGACGTCCTTTCTACTCACTATGCTACTGTCTGGTAGCACAGCGAAACACAGCTTCAACTAACTGAGATTGATAACCTTGTAATTCCATAAAAAATAACAGGGTTGCTGTTACACTTGCCAGCTGTGTCACACAAGTACCCAGATGAGCCATCGTTTTTACAGTGACATATTATGTTATGACTGAGGTAATGCGGTGACTACAGTGAAGAGAAACAGGTTAGGGGAGGAGTGAGCTCTGTGCTGTTCTGATGCTACAGGCCTGTACAAAGATAATAAAGAAAATCTGACTGAAGACAAAATGAATAAAACATCCCTGTTCTATAATGAATGAGTCAAAAGTAGTGTCTGAAGAGAGTGGGATAAGCAAAAAAAATAGATGGGAGATATGAGAGAATAAAGGATGGAGAAAAAGAAAGTGAAAAAGGCATCTGTGATGAGAGAAAGCATGCAAGGGAGTGAGAGAGGAAGGAGACAAAGTCAGTGCATCCCCTGGGCTGCTGTTCTAACAATAGCTTGGCAGCAGCAGAAGCTCCTGTGGGCTTGCAGCTCTGCTTCATAGGGCAGCAGAGCTGCAACTAGCAGAGCTGCTGTGCTGCATGTTAGCAGTGTAAGATACCTATTCATTTTGAATTCATTTCAATTTTAATTAGTTTGGGCGAACCCAACCCATAGACAGAGATGCACAGAAAGCCAACAACTGTTCTGTCCCACTTAAAAGATCATAAGGTAGCTGCATCAAATACATTTGCAGAATAATTCTTTACAAATAATAATTTAAAAATGGGCAACAAAAAATACTCAGTTGTAATATTTTTACTGCTTGTATACAGCAGTTCACATATTTCAGGTCTTGGTCTAGTGGTTTATTGAAAGTATAATGTAACTTTAGCTCATGAGGCCTGATAAATTGCTGCTCGTTGGCTCATTTGTGGCTTAAACATGTGCAGCTTCTGTCTAGTCAACTAGGGGCTGTAAAAATGACATGTTTATTGTAATGATCGGCCTCTTGTCCTCCTCTGAGAAGAATAAAATCCGTGAGTAGAACTGGTACCAACCTAAACTGCAGACAGAGGCACTGTCAGCCTTAAGTGAGTTCACTTGGGCTTTTATGGACTGCAACATCCGGAGCTGCTCGCTGATCTGAACACACGGTCTACGCACACATAAACCTTACTCTAGCACTTCATATGGAAAAAGCGAGACAAGAGAAGAAGTAGAGAGAGCTAAGAGACAGCAAGTGTAAATAAAGTAATATTACCTCCACTCCTCCTGTGGGTAAGAGAGAGAGTGTAAATCTTGTTGTAATATTACCTCCACTCCTCCTGTGGGTGCTGTTTCTCATACTTCTCCCTAATGTGACAAACGCCTAAATCAGGGTGTAACCAGTGGAGAGCATCAGAGTGCAGATGTGTCAGACGGAGACCCAGAGAAGACACACAGCGCAGTTTGTGGATCTCTGCTATCTTCTGGATAACACCCTGCAAAACATGGATGAATAAAGGAAAACATGAGAGGCACAAAAATGACGTTCATTCGAGGTTGTGAGAGGAGAAACAGTAGTGCATCTTACCCGGACATCTGTTGCATCCCCATGTCTGATATTACTTGCCCAAGTACATGGTTCACTGTTTGTCTCAAAGTAATGGAAGATCTTGAGAACCCGGTCCATGGAGCCTGGTGGACGCTCTAGACCTCCAGCAGAGCCACTGGTACCAACACCGGGAGCACTGGGCATCCCAGACCGAGATTTAACCCCACAACCCACTGCAGAGTGATTGAGGTTGGGCTCCAAGTAGGAAGACGATGCCATGCCTGCCTCAGTTACTCCTGCTGGGGCTAACTGGCCATCATATTCTGGAGGGACAGACGGGGACAAACAGAGAGGACAGAGGTCCAAACCTGATGATCATATTGTAGCTGAAGAGTAGTTTTGCTTTCTCACATAAATAATAATCTGATTCTGTGAAAGGAGCATTGCTAAAAAACACATTTGTCAGGACAGAAAACAGGGAACATTAATAATAGTTATTACTGAATATCTTACATGTGCATGTGCAGTGAGGAAGGGATAGCCAGTCAGTAAATGAGTTGATATAAAACAATAAATCACAGACTCTCACTTCAATATAAATCAGACGAGTTCAAATAAATAAATCCTCCACCGCTGGCAAACACTGACATCAGACAGGCAGGAAACCGCTAAATCAACCAGGTAGTCTGTCTTGCCAGGTAATAGGTTTAACAGCCATCAGCCAGTCAGTCTGTTGGTGAAATGCTCTACAGTCCTACCTGCACTGTTGAGTGGAAGCAACCAACAGGTACAAACCATAGTCTCTAAAACACTACCTGCATGGCTGCACAGTTTACAATTTGGTGGTTCCTAAAGTCTGGTTAAACACACTAAGTCTGGACTGGGAGGATTACTCTGCTGTTCTGGACATACTGGTATTGACTGGGAGTGGCTATGGTTCATGTTACAGAAGCCTAAGAAAGCACCGAGTTGACTTTTTCCTCTCCGTACGAGTTGCAGTCCATTTAACTCAGGTGTCTGCCAACACTGACTCCAGACCCTGTATCAGTACTTTTTCCCCCCAGACTTATAAACGTCAAATTCATTAATGCCACTGTCTTGCAAGGGCTCCCTCGAAAAACAGATTGCACACACTAGTAGTTTAAATACAGGGTGAATTTATTTCAGAAAAGTTTTCCTTCATATTTACCATTTGACTAATGTCTGAGGCTACAATCAAAAATCTGCAGCACTTATTGAATGCAAACCAGGATGGAGCAAAAACAGGCACAAATCAGCCATTGCTACAAATTCTACCTTTTTGTCTCTGCCTCCCATTCTCATATTTACTTCTTTTAAAATTATTTACCACCTTCTTTCCAATGATGGCTCATCTTCACACATCTTATCTTTGTGCGAGACAGCCACACTCCACTGCGTCTTGTGTCATATTGTAACTTCTTGAATATCCCAGCAGGCTTTGTTGAGTCATCATCACTACTGGTTTGAGCTGACTGTGAATTCTACTGTGCTGACAAAAGAGATGCATGCAAATCAAACCTGAGGAACTCATTTCACAGCTCATCTCCAGCACTGCTGATGTTATGCACAACAAAATGCTTTTCCAAATTGTGGAGTGGATCGTTTATATTGGATGACTCATTTAATCCACCTAATATGGAGACAAACAGAACATTTTCACCTACTGTACCATTTCTGTCAACCTGGCTGTTTCAGTACTGTTCTATGATGAGCAGAAAAATCACTACTTTTAACATTACATCACTTCATTCAACATTTTTCTGTATTCAGGTCACAGGCAAATCACTTTATACTGAGAAAAAAGGGAAATAGAAAGACAGAAATATGGATCCAAGAAAAGTTGTGTCAGCACTTTTAACAGCTTGACCCACAGCTGCCCCTTCAAAGCAAGTGTGTGCGCACACACACTATGACTACAACAGAAAGGGAGTAGGTATCTGATGACATGACTAAGCACTCTCTTGTAGGAACATGCTCTATCAATAGTATGTGTGGGTGCACAAGTTCAATACACATTATTACTGTACATCCTGTCCAGAGAGACAGAATGTTATGACATGAAAGCCTCTCACTCCCTTCTACATATTATCACACTTAGTATTAACATTTTCATTTCTACCATTTTATATATGTATCAGTCATTTGTCACTGCTGTTCTCCTTAATCTCCCCCTGCGATGCATGTAAGCTTTGTAGACATAATGTGAGAAAGGTTATCAGAAACTTGAAACACTGACCTTGAATTTTTATGTATAAAGTGCCCAAAATTATCTTTCTGCTCATCGGTCTAAGGTTGGAAACCAGAAATTATGCTGAAAAAGATTTACCAGTCCAAATAGCTAATCTTCTATAGTAATGCAAGTGCTGCCATTTCAGGTACAGACGTGGGTAATGCATTTAACATTCCAGTAACACCCTCAGCTTATTAGGTTAACTGTCTTAAGATAAAAATATGGTGTATTCTGTAAAGAGTGGTGATATAGTAGACTTTATCTGCTTCAGCAGATAAAGTCTACTATATAGTATTTCGGTGTACTGCATTCTACTGAGCTCATACCTGTACTGAATAAGGTAAGTGTATGGCCAGAGACTCAACAGATGCTCAATGATTTACAGCAGATTAGAGCTGATCAGATCACTAATGTCCCTCTTGTAGTATTACTATCCTCATCCAATTAAAATGATACTGCCATGGCTATGATACTAGTGGATTATTAGGTGGCTTGTTAACAATCCCTAACAAAGGCACTGCTGCTATATTTCCATTAAAAATACCACTAAAAGGAGGTTTGAACTATATCCTGGTGCCAGTGTTTGTTACATTAGGTTTCACATTAGACCCAAATCTGACTACATTCAGTCTCAAAATCCCAGAGGCTGATGATGTTCTGTTGTCCTTAAGTCCTGGGTACTCTTACTGTGTGGGAGCAGGTGCAAGGTTTTGTGTTTGGGGATATCAGAGTAATGACATCAGAACATTTAGCCGTTTCTTGTATAAACATGTTAGCACATATAAATTATGATGGCTGAAAACAAATAACAGCATATGTATTTGAAATGAAGTACGCAAGTGTTTGCTGTACAACTCGGGGCCAATTATGAGTTTATATCAAACCATGCTTTGTGGAAAACCCTGTCCAGCGTGGACACCGGCTGTGATACAGTGGCCCAACAAACTTTCAGTCATTCTAACAGCGCTAGTTCCAGCTTTCATTGCTTGTCTCAGAGGGGCACATAAAAAAAGCACTGGGGACACTGTTATGACTGAAACTGGCTTTTAAACAGAGGCAGTTTCACCAGAGGAGCCACACAGTCACAAACCACAGTGAGCCATCTGCTGCTGCTCACTCACTCAGTAATCAGATTAAATATGTTGTTAGCACGCCACTGCATACACTGACACAAAATCACACACACGTAACCGTAACCTAATTGCTACATACAAATATTAGAAAGGTAGGCATACCTACATTGTTCTTGGTGCATTCATACAATTACTTTATGCAGCAAATACTGTTACATCACACGCCACTAGGAAATGGGGTAAAACTATGTTATGTTTACTTGTTTCCCAGGAGCTTTTATCTGAAGAGTGCAAGTTCACTTACTGCCAGATTGGTAAAGCTTTGTCAGGAAAATATCTGAAATAGTTATCAATTGGTTTGGCCATGGTGGTAAACATACAACTCTTTTCCCACACACACATAGTTTGTTGTGCATTTTAAAGAGGTCTACCATCAGATCTGACACCTGGAACACTGAAGTATGCTGCTAAACAACACTGCATTTCTGAGCTGTAGTATACCATAATACATGGATCTCTATGTACAGTAATTACTGATTTAAAGATGGTGTGACCCCCTCCTGCTTGAAAGTGTGCACTGATCAGCTGAGCCCCATCTTCACAATTATCTTCAACAGGTCACTGGAGCTGTGTGAGGTCCCCTCCTACTTTAAACGCTCCACCATCATTCCAGTCTCCAAGAAATCCTCCATCAGGGAACTGAATGACAGACCTGTCGCCCTGACATCTGTAGTCATGAAGTGTTTTGAAAGACTGGTATTGGCCCACCTGAAAGCAATCACAGACCCCCAGCTGGATTCCCTGCAGTTTGCTTACCGAACAAACACGCCAGTGGATGATTCAGTCAATATGGCACTGCACTACACCCTGCAACACCTTGACTCACCAGGGACCTATGCTTGGACCTTACTTGTCGACTTCAGTTCGGCATTTAACACCATTATTCCAGACATCCTCCACTCCAAACTCACCCAGCTCACCGTGCCTGCCCCCACCTGTCAGTGGATCACCAACTTTCTGACGGACAGGAAGCAGCAGGTTAGGCTGGGGAAAACCACATCCAGCACCCAAACTATCAGCACAGGCACACCGCAGGGCGGTGTGCTCTCCCCACTGT